ACAGAGGTGTATTGGGGGGTAAAGGGGAATGGCCATATGCAGATGTTGAAAAAACTGGATCACTAAATATCATTTTGGAAGCCATCTGGAGCCTGGGAGGAGAAACAAGCCAATTCACCTTTCCCATGAGTCAGCAGAAGCCACGTGGGCCTGGGAGGAGTAACAAGAAGTCAGTTTGCCCTTCCTGTGAGCCATCACAAGCCATGCAGGACCCAGCAGGAAAAACAAGCCAATTTGCCCCTCCCCATAAGCAATCTGCTGAATCAGAGAACAGGCTGAGTTGATAGCAACTGAGGTACAAAAACAATTAAATGTTTATATTATTTGATTGACTTTGCAAATCTAAGGCTGGTAGTACAAGCATCTATTATTAAGAGAATAACAATATGCAGTATAGCAACTAAGGAGGATTTCCTTCTGTCTTGTCTTTGAAATCCAATATTGTTCTGTTTTGTTTTGTTCCATCTGAGTGTTTTGTTTTATTCATTGTTCTGTTTTGATTGGTTTTATTCTGTTCTGTTTTGATCTTATTATGTCTGATGGTATGGACAGTAATTTTGATGATAATAAGAGGCATTATGGTAGCTATTGTTGATTTTCTATTATCCTCTTTTGAAGTCCTGTATCACTTTCACTATTTTGTTTTGATTGGCTTTATTCCATCTTATGTTGTTTGGCTTTATTCTCTTTAAAATTTCAAAAAATTAAATAAATAAATAAATATCATTTTTGGAGTTTACTTTGCCATAATAGCCTCATAATTTAGCTAATGCCAGTGCAAAAATTCAGAGCATCGAGATAATTTGAAAAATTGTTAATCTGAACAGTCAACTATCAAGAAATGACAGGAATCATGGCAGCTGACAAAAATGCATAGAACATTCCTTCAGGATGCTAACCCAAAATGAATCAACTTCAGGAGTCTTCTGTCACTACATTTTTTCTTCCAGAGAAAACACTTCCACTTGGTCTAGTTTTTTTATTTTGTTTTGGTTGGGTTTTGGGGGGTGTTTCTAGAGAGAGTTGTTGAGACAGGGTCTCACTGTGTATTCCAGGCCAGCCTCAAACTTGTGGTGATCCTACTGCCTCAGCCTCCCAAGTGCTGGGATTACTGGTGTGCCCAGATTTGGGGGGAGGAAGGGGTTGCCGTTTGACCTCATTGTGAATGGATGTCACCTGCTGACAAAGGAAGAGTATTGAACTGTGATTGACAGCCCCACCAAGCTAGTGTGCCGTGGGGGAAGTGTTCTCAAAAAGAAAGAGAATGCTGATGGAGAAAAACAACAGATGTCCTCTGCATTCCAACCATGGGTTGCCAAGCAACAGCCTCCCACTTTTTAAAATACCATATACGATTTTTAAATGCCTTTGCCTAGCATAATATAATTATTTCAAAGGCGAACAAAAGATACACTCACTCCCTCCAGTAGGAGACAACCCATGTCCACCCAGAGCCACCATTCTTTCCCTGTCTCTATCGTGATCCTCCTCCATATTTTGCAATTTGTGGGCAAAATAACAAATTTAAGCATCCTCAACCCCACACCTCATGTGATTCTAGGAAAGAAGAAAGAAAAGAGGAAAAATACAGATAGAGATAGAGATATCCAACGTTATACATACTACTATATATAATTTATACCTCAATAAAAGAAACACTATTCATGACACAGCAAGAAAGTACAGGTAAAAGCCCCTGTCTTTACTTATTGAATAGAAAGAATGTAGTATTTATAACTCTGCCTTCCCCCACCACTGATGAGCCACTGATTAGCCAATACCTCAGTGGATTTAGTCAGACATCACTTAATCCTGATCTCCTGAATCCGCACTGTGTCCCCTGCACCCACACATTAAGTGCACACGAGAATACGTTAGAGTGCTGGAGTTGCTATTCTCCCCAGCATTTTGTTCCTGCTCACCACTCAAATTGTCTGCTCACTTTGCATTTTGAACGCTGGAGCTGTCTCTGTTTCCTGAGTGTGTATCAAAAGAACTTCTCACATTCCCCAGTCTGCCAAATTGCTGAAGTTGGAAGTCCTCTGTGCTTACATATCTGTCTCCCTAACTAGACTGCAAGCCCCAGGGGGGGCAGGAAAAATGTCATAACCATGTTCCCACAATGTAGTGCTGTGCCTGGTACACAGCAGGCGCACATTATATGTGTGTCACCTAATGAATGTAACCATGGAGGAAATAAATGACCTAACTGGACATGGATTGTTTCCTTTGGAAAGAAGTTTTTTGTTTGCATGTAAGATAACCACACTAATTAATTAGATAATTAATTAATAAGAAAACATAGATGATTTTTGCCCATATAACAAAATCCCTTTCCTGAATTATCTCCTACTGAATATTTAAGCTGAGATTTGCCTTTTACATAACATTGACCTGCAAATGTCATAGTCATTTGAGTTTTAGTTGTTTTGTCTTGTTTTGCTTTGCTTTGTTTTGAGACAGGATCTCACTATGTCACCCAGGCTGGCCTTGAACTCCCAGTAATTCTCCTGCCTCAGCCTCCTGCTTGTTGACGTTATAGGCATGTGCCACCACACCTGGCTGAGTTTTAGTTCTGTTTTTTAAGCTTTGAAAGCCTTCAGAGGAAGTACAATTTGGTTATGCTTATGCAGCTGTAAAACTGACAAGACATGCCTTTCTCTATGACATGGTAAAAGAAGCAAAATTTACTTACACAAATACATTGTTTGCATTGGTATTTGTTTTTTTTTTTTTGTTTGTTTGTTTTTTGTCTTTTTCCTTTTTATCGGTACCGGGGATCAAACTCACGACTGCTTGCTTTCAAGGCAGGCGCTTATGCCGCTGAGCTAAACCTCCAGCCCCGTGCATTGGTATTTGTACAGCCTCTTTCTTAGTGAATGAATAGTTTTGTGATCGATTTGAAAATAGATATCCCATAGTCTGTGGAATTTGACCTGGTTCATGATCAAAAAATAATTCTTTTTATATTGAAAAATATTGTTTAATTTATTTTTGCTTGATATAAAATATAAAAGTGTACATATTAATGGGGTACTGGTAATGTGATGTTTTGAGACACATATACATTGCATTATGTTTAAACTGATTAAATGTGTTTATCTCCTAAACATGTGTCATCTCTTTATAATGAAAACTTTCAAGGTCGAGGATATAGCTTAGCAGCACAGCAAGCACCTAAAGGTCCTGAGTTCTATTCCTGGTACCAAAAGAAAGAAAGAAAAAGAGAACTTTTAAAATCCTTTCTTCTAGTTTTCTTAAAATGTACATTATTGTAACAGAAAATGCCTCCCTCCAAGGCAGTACACTTCAGTTTCCTAGTTGCCCAGGTAACAGTTCCTGTTCCAGTTCTGGTTGCTTCTGTCTCTTATACGGCTGCATAGCTGGTCACTAGAGCGCACATTGTATAAACTCATTCCCAACTGACAAGCCGTTCTGCCTCTGTACTTCCTGCTTACTTATTCCATATAAGCCCTAAATCGCCAGAAATCAGGGTCTGATTATCTGGGAATGATCCTGATCAGTGCCCATTACATAAATAAGTCTGTCCCCAAGTCATGGGTGTCATTTCAATGTTTCTGCTTATCATTGCATTGTCATCTATAATTACCCTATTGTGCAATGGTGTACCAGAACTTGCTCCTGCTCAACTATAAATTGGTACCCATTGATAGTGTGGTGACACATGCCTGTAATCCCAGCACTCGGGAGGCTGAGGCAGGAAGATCACTGTGAATTCAAAGATAGCTTGGACTGCATAGTGAGTCCAAAGTTAGCCTGAACTACATAGCAAGACACATACACACACACACAGAGAATTCCTTCAAAAGAGAATTTTTGATTTTTTTCCAAACCTACTCTTGTCCCACATCTACCTTTCCTGGAATTTTTTGAGCAGTTCAGGTGAAAGTCTAGAAAACAACCTCAGCCCTCTTTTTCCTCCCATCGCTCAGCCCCCAGCTCATACCCTGTCCAGTATCAGCTTGTAGATTCTCCCTTCAAGAGACCCAGAGTCCTGCCTCACCTCAGACGCCCGTGGTTCCCAGACCACACCCCAGCCGCTCTCAACCAGTCTCCCACAGCAGCACCCAGCTCCTCTGCCTGCCCTGCCCTTATACTCATCCCCACTGCGAGTACTCCGCACAAGTCAGAAGGAACCTTTCAAACTACAAATCAGATCACATCAAGTGTAGTCATGATCCAACTTAAGACAGCTGGAAAACAGTTCTGGGTCTTCCCTGACCACACTGTAAGAATCCCAGGGCCATCTCAAAACACCAGGAAAAGGCTTGATATTCCTCCCTGAGCAAATGAAATTAGAGACTTAAAAAAGAAAGGGTGTTGCTGCTTCAAGGAGTTATAAATAGTGGCCCTTGGCACCATCACCTTGGCTCTTCTCCACGTGTCATTGTGTGAAGCAAACAACTTCTGAGAAATCAGCGTGAGAATGCTAGAAAAATGGTCGTTATACCCCGGATGTTTTCTGGATGGGCTCCTGCCATGTCTGCTTGCTTGTCTCATTTCCATAGTTGACCTTTGATGAATTAATGGAAGGCTGGGTTTCTACGATGACTCAGGCTTGCTGCTCTGATGTTGTGCCATCCATTCAGCGGGAAGGAATATGCTGGATTTTGGTCCTTTTCTATGCTGTCTACAGAAGGACTAGCCAGAAACACAGTGGGCAGAAAAGGACCTTGTGAGTGTCAGGCAGGCATAAAGCTAACCAGGTTTAAGATCTCTTCGTGGGCTAGGAATATCGCTCAATGGCAGAGCATCTGCCTGGCGAGTGTGCGGCTGATTTCAACTCCCAGTACCAAAGAAAATAACAACAACAAAAGACTCCTTTGTTCATGACACCCTTCTAAGGCCCTATTCTTAATTTTGTATTCCTGCTTTTGTTTTGGGGGTATTTCATTTTACTTTGTGTTTTTCTCTTTGTTGTTGCTTGCCTTTCTTTGTCTTTCTTTTCTTTTGAGACAGGGTCTTGCTCTGTATTCCAGGCTGGTTTTAAACTCACTGTGTAGCTCAGGTTGGCCTTGAACTCATGGTGATCCTCCTGCCTCAATCTCCCAAGTGCTGGGATCACAGGTATGTGTCACCATATGCAATTATATTTTCTTTCTTAAACAGAACTCTACTCATTTGCAACTAGATTATAGTTCCTCTTCCCAAGTTGTGCGATAGCTACCAAAAACAGGAAATTTAGCACACTGATGGTGCAAGGAACTAGGAAGAAGAGAGCAGTAAAAGAATGTGGCCTCTCACTTCACTGACACAAGGTTGCCATTCCTGGGCAAACCTTCTGGTCTACCCATTCTGAGTCAGCAGCATCCACACTCTTAACTAAGCACTGCTGCTTTTTGGCCTCCCTGGAGGTCCTAAGAGCTTAGAAAAGGTGAGACCCCATTAGGAAAGATGTGTTTAGATATTTTGATTATGAAACTGTGTGCTAGCTTGATGGCTTCATCTCCGCAGAACAGGGAGTTGACCACTATGAGGATAGTTCCCCTCAGCTCTGCTTCTCTATTATCCAGATATGACCTGTAACTCCGTAAGGTTTGCACATAATGCATTTCAACTTCTTGGCTCTCTTGCTCCTTGACTTTGTTAGACCTGGGACCTCTTGCTTTGATTTCTGCCCCAAGTCCTAAATGATCAAAGCATTCAGGATTTTCAGTCACTTAGGTAGCTCCACTGCTCTTAAATAAAATGACGCAGTGACTACGATTTGGATGAGCGCCCCCTACAGGACCCTGGGCCAGACTCAATATGGCACCTTCCCAACATGACACTGACCCCTAAAACAACAGCATATCTCTCCTACACTTCATCTTCTGGTCCCAAAACGATAAACTTTCTGCTTCTGCTTTCTCCCTCTGCATGTACACCAAAGGTCCTCCAATCCCCTCCCGACACCAGCCACTCAGGTAGTCTCCACCCCGCTGTACCTGATTTCTACTCTGGGATCAAATTAGTAGGATCAGTATTATCCTAATTGAAGTAGATAGCCAGAACCTTACAGATGTCCCAGAGGCATGGAAATCACTGTGACAATTCAAGTTTCCAAATTGGCTGAACATCACCCTGCTTCTAACTTAACCAATATTCTGTACTTCCTTTGCATTAAGGACCACATAACCCAAGGGGTTCACCGGCAAATTATGTGAGTAAATACAGCCAACAGTTTCTTTCTTAGGTTCTTAGAACTGTATCACAGGCAATGGTATTATAGAGAATGGAGTTCATTAAACACAAAATCCTACTTAGCAGGTTAAGATATACTAATGGAGGAGAATGTCAAAACTGAGAACCCCCTAATCTAAGCTATGAGAGGGCCTAGGCAGGAGGATCACAAACTCGAGCCAGCCTGAACAACTTAGTGAGACCCTGTCTCAAAATAAAATAGAAAAGTCTGGGGCTACAGTTCAGTAGTATAGTGCTTGCCAAACACATATGAGTTCAATTCTTAAAGGTATTGCAAAATAACAATAATAATAATAATAATAATAACAGTAATAGTAATAATGATAGCAACATCAATGGCAGCCGCAGTAACAGCAGCAGAGGAAAACAAATCTGGGGACAATTCTAGAGAGAAAGGGGAGGCAGAAGGGGAAAGAGAAAAGTCAGAAAAATTCTGAAAGATGGGATATACATAGGGTTATAAGTCATTGAGAATCCCCTAGAAAGATTGTACCACTGAAAAGAATTTTAAGAATGAAGCTGTCCCTCCCGCAAAGATTAAGCATGCCTCACTTGAATTTAAACACTTGCTCTGGGCTGGGGATATAGCAATGGGAAAGCACTTGCCCAGCCTGTGCGAGGTCCCGCTGCTACAAAGCTAAACAAGCAGTAAATATTTGCTTCCTCTTCTTGTTTCTCACCCCAAAATCTTTTAGAATACATACTGCTTCAACCAGCGTGTAGTGTGAGCGGTGTCTGTAAAGCCTGGAGAAAGACGTGAGCTCATGCATGTGGAAGGAATCTGAAACCCGGAGGGACAGCATGAGAAGGCAATCCCCCGAAATCACAGGATTCTTGAGGCAGCTCCTCCGCAGGATTTGGAATGGGAGGTTAGAGGCGGGCGCCTCTTTCCGCTGTGTGTGGAGGTGGTGATGCGTCCTGCGCACGTCTCCTCGTTGTGTCTCTGTTAAGCTTGTTCCTGTTGGCCCAGGAAAGCTCCTTGCAGCCCACTAGCCAACAATGACGGCTGACACCAGGGCGGCTCAGATGCACTGCCCACGTTCTTCTCACCAAACAAGGCAAGGTGCCACTCAAAAAGGGGCCATATCTTTATAACTTGCACAAAAGGACTCAATGGGGCAATGGTAGCCCTGCTGCCACTGACTGCATCAGCACAGTGGGGACCCTACGCCTCACATGCCTGTCTTGTGTGACACTCCCTCATTCCGCTTCCTCTGGAGGTCTCTACAATTCTCTGCTGGGTTTCATGATTTGTTCCTGCATAATAACCTCACCCCTATAATTTGCAAAGCTGCCTCTCTTGAAATGGAGTTAGGACTTCTTTTTGTACTGAAGAATAGTTGTATTTCTTTGATCCTTGTGCTTTCAAATCACACCCTCTTAGGCTGGCTGGGGATAATGAGCAAGTGTTTTGAAGAGTCAGGTACCTATAAATGGCCTCTCCCTGTTTCACACAAAGACAAAGGTCCTGCCAGAGCTTTGAAACTAAGCCCTTAGAGTCCTTCAGGCTGCACTTGTGCCTGTTATGTAAAAAGGGAAAGAAAGGGGCAAAGAGTGTGGTTTTCTTTTTCTAGTTACAATTGCTTGCATTTTCTGAATTTTCTCAGATGAGTACACAGAGGCTCAGGGAGGTTATATCATTTTGCCAGAGATTACACAGCTAGCAAACTGGCTGGAAGCTGCCCCCAGAACCTCAGATTGCTACTGTACAGCTCTTCTGCCATCGCTGAGCTGTCTCTGAAAAGGGCAGACTGGTTGCTAGGCCTGGAGTAGGAAAAGGCCTTTCCATAAGTAGAGACCCATGTTACAATCCCTCAGCAGAAGAAACAACAGCCAGCAGCTGCAGCAACAGTATAAGAGCTAGACATCTCCATAGTGAAGAGAGCTAAAGTACTACCTAAGAATCGGCCTCTTTTGTCTGCTCACTTCCTCCCCCAGGTTGGCAACCCTACTGGATCTCGTACTTTATGACTCTGCCCCTTTTGGTAATAACTGATTGGGCTACCAGTGGTCCCTTGATTCTAACTGGACAGCTCCTTGCCTCTGTTCCTGATTGGAGAACAGGGCTCCTCCAACTTAGCCTGCCTAACTGGGTTCTCATGCCTGCGTAATTGAGGGAGAGGAAGAAAGCTTAGCAATAATAATAAAAGATTTTGAGAAGTAAAAGCCCTGTAGTCAAAAATATATCTCCGTGGCTAGACGTGGTGGTGCATGCCTGTAATCCCAGAATTTGGGAGGCTGAGGCAGGAGGATTGCTGCAAGTTCAAGATCAACCTGGGCTACATAGTGAGTTCAGTACCAGCCTAAACTCCCTAGAGAGACCATGTCTCATATATATATACTAATATTTTGGAAACCAGAAAGTATAGAAATCCTAAGGAACTGCCACAATGATCCTATATGCCAGAGGCACTAAAGTAGGTGATTCCAGGGAAGATTCCTGGGGATTATATCCCAAACACCTTGAAGTGCTTTCTGCTGAAGTCCTAGTCCTGTTCACTACTGACATAAAAATAGCTTCTCATTTCTTTCTGCTCTGCAAATCTCACACGAGCATCTCTCATTGCCAGAACACAGCTCGCATCTTGTCATGAGGAAATGTAGTTCTGAGGTTTCCAGTCCTCATAATATAGGTGAAAATATAGAAGGAAGTGAAAATGTTTCCAGAATACCAACAATATGGTGTAATGTGCATTTTGCATAGTGAAACTTGTATGTACTTATCTATTCATGTTTAACTTTCAAATAACAATATTAATGACAGTTTAATTCTTCTACCTAATGTGACATAACTATCCTTCATATAAATGAAGGTGCTGTTATGGTCTGAACTGTGTTCCCTCAAAGTTCAGCTGCTGAATCCCTAACTCCCCATATCTTGAAATGCAGACAGATATATCTTGTTTAACAACTGTTTGAATGCATGACAGAGGCACAGTATTTGGAGTTGCAACTTGCTGCTCAGACTTAAGACCCATCTTTGTTTGTTTGTTTTTTGTCTTTTTCCTTTTTATTGGTACCAGGGATCGAACTCACGACTGCCTGCTTGCAAGGCAGGCGCTTATGCTGCTGAGCTAAATCCCCAGCCCCTAGGACCCATCTTTGTTTATTAGAGTCCTGAACATCTTCTTTCTAGAAACTCAATGCCTTTTTGAACAGGTCACCTTGTTTGCATGGCATTATAATTTTTGCTGATTGTACTATACAGTGGTGTAGTCTTATGTTCTGTTATACATTACAGTTCTGTATGTAAAATTATGCAAATAAAAGCAAAGGCATCCAGTTGGAGTTTCCTTGTACCACTTCTTTGTTCTGTGTATTGTACTGTACACATATTATATAAGATCCCTCATTTAACTACCAGTTTACCTAGTCACAGGACTGGAGCCCTGTCATTAAATAAGGAATGTCTGAATTTGGAGATAGGGCCTTTAAAGAGGCAAGTTAAATCGAGACTGTTAGGGTAGGCCCTAACCCAGTCTAACTAGGTCCTTTGTGTGTGTGTGTGTGTGTGTGTGTGTGTGTGTAACTGGGGATTCATGCTTGCCAGGCAGGTGCTTATGCCACTGAGCTAAATCCCCAGTCCTAGGTCCTTTTTTTGAGGCAGAATATCACTTTGTAGTTAAAGCTAGTCCTGAACTCTGTAATCTAGGCTGGCCTCGAACTCATGGTGACCCACCTGCCTCAACTTCCTGAGTGCTAGGATTACAAGTATGTACCACCATGCCTAGCTGACGAGGTCTTTATGCTAAGAAGAAATTTGGAAACAAAGGTAGACAACAGGGGTGAGTGTTCCCAGAGCAAAGGCCGTGTGAGGACACAGCAAGAAAGAGGTCATCAGCAAATCAAGAAGAGATGTCTCAGGAGAAACTGGGCCTGCAGACAATTTGATCTCAGACAGCGAGAACGTATGTGTGTTAAGCTGTCTGGTCTGTGGTATTTTGTTACAGTGGCCTGCTAGGCTCTGAATATGCCTCAGGTTGAGGCCGCACAGTGTAAGGAACTGAGGTGGAGGGGTGAGGTTGTGGTAACGGAGCCCTCCTGAACAGAGTGTGCTGGAGCAATCACAACCAGTTGCTATAAAGCAAGGTTACCCTGAGCTTTGTGTTTTCCATACATACCTACTTGACCTTCCATGTTTTCCCCATGAAGCTCTGGACAGAACTCAAGCAGGTGGAGCTACCTAATCTTAGACTTCCAACTTCCATGACCATGAACCAATATAAACCTCTTTTAAAAAATAAATAACTCAGTCTTGGATATTTTATTATAGCAACAGACAAAAGACCAAGGCATAACCCTAGCAAATAAAAACTAGCATGTTACCCCTCCCCAAAAAAGGAAGACGCAGTCTCCCCAGTCACTATATCCTCAGAGTAGCCTCAGTTCCTCTAGATGAGTCAAAATCCTGCCTCAGTATCCTGCAAGGGAAGAACAAAATCACAAAATTAACCACTGTGTAACCTCCTGTGTAGTGAAGAAAAGGAAAGGGAAAAATTTGTTTAATATATACAAACATACAGGCTGGACATGTAGGTCAATGGTAGAGTGCTTGTCTAGCATATGCAGAAGCCTGGATTTGATCCCTAATATTATATAACAAAGTAAAGAAGTGAAAATGCATAGTTAGAATAGTTTCTATTTCTGTGCCAGGTCACATGACCACAGTCAGAATTTGTAACTTACTACCTCCATTCCTCGTTCCCTTTATGCTCAGCCAGGAGCAGCTCTAATGGCTGTGACTGCTACTCTAACACTGGGGGTGTCATAAATGGCAGCAGAACTGGAGCTGCCTCTAGAGAGAGGCCTTTTTTAAAATACAGGAAGTATCACAGCTGTGGACAAAGCTGATGTTGCAGAGAAGACCATGATTCCAGAGGCGATGCCATGACTAAGGGAAAGGAAATAGATCCAGTGCACATGTAGAGAGATTGGCCTAAGATAGGATCGTACTGAGTTTGATCCAGTGAAACAGAAGAGACAGGTACAGGTGCTGTGTACCATGTGGACTTTTCTCCAGGACAATGTGGGACTTGACTACATGTTTTAAGCAGAGGGAGCCCCACGGTCAGATCTGTGCTTAAGAAAAATCTTGGGCTGGGATGTGACTCAGTGGTAGAATGCTTGCTCAGCATGTGCAAGCAGCCATGAGTTCAATCCCCAGCAAAGAAAGAAAGAAAAAAAGAAAGAGGAGGAAGGAGAAAGTGAGAGGGAAGGGGAGGGGAACAGGGGAAGGAAAGAGGAGAGAGGAGGGGAGAGGAGAAGAGAGGAGAGGAGAGAAGAGAAGAGGAGAGGAGAAGGAGGAAGGAAGGAGAAACAAAGATGAAAGAAAGAAAGAAGAAAAAGATTTTTATGGCTACTGTGTGGAAAGCAGATTGAGCAGTCAAGCTGAGGGCAAGGGACCTGAGGAGGCTGCTGAACTGACCAGATTAGAAATGATGCTGGACTGGACAAGGGAAGGGGTGGCAAGCACACAGGGAAATGCCTAGACGTGAGAGATACTGAGGACAATAAAATCAAGTTCAGATGCTGATTTCAGCAACACATATCATAAAATCAAGCTCGGGGAGCTAAGAGTTAGGTGCTGTAGGGTTTGGGCAGCCATGGCAAAGACTTTGGCTCTAATGGTAAGTGAAATGGGCAACTATTCTATCACAGACAGGATGTGACCCAACTACGGTTCTCTGCTTTGTTTCATTTTGTCTTGAGACAGGTCTCACTCTGTTGCCGAGGCCAGACCTCTTGTCATGGTTTATGCCTGTGTCCCCCAGGCCTCATGAGTTTGCATTGTGCATTTGCATTGTCTAGACTTGGATTGATGGTGTCAGTGCTACACCCACTTAGGGGTGGAGCCAGGATGTGATGTAATGGCAGGAAGAAGGTGTGTCTTGCTTTTTGCTGGTTCCTATTTGCTGTTTTGCAGCCGCCAGGAACTGCGGCCCAGCCATGCCCGCCTGCCTTGGAGCCAACTGAGTGTGTGAAACCTCCCAAAACTGTAAGAAATAAACCTTTCCTTTCACAATTTTGGGCTTCAGGTATTTTGTCTCAGCGACGAGTAAAAGGTAACTAAGACACCTCCTAACCTCTTTTGATTTCCCAAGTAGCTGGGATTGCAAGTGGGCACCACCGTGCTGGTTCTAACTCTGTTTCCCACGTGGTCAAGTATTTTTGTATAGTTTAATTTATACTGAATTTTCCAGAAACACCACTTCCATGTAATAGATGAAAGTGTGGGCTTCGTTTTGTTCCAAAACATAGCAGCATGATGCTCCCTGCATTTGAGACCTCAGTCTAGTTCCGGGCCGTCTGTGTACAGCTTTGGCAGGGGCAGCGAGTCTACAAATGACTGTAAGCATCGAATCAGGACATCAAGGCTTCTGCGGAAGTTGTGCATAGTATTTTACATGTTCAAATATAAGATTTTTATGTATGAGTTCTCTTTTTTCCTCCTTACATCACATTTGGAGCATAAAAAGCTTTTTTTTTTTTTTTTTTTTTTTTTTTTTTGAGACAGAGGCTCACATAGTCCAGGCTGGCCATGAACTCACTTTGTAGCCCCAGAGTGGTCTTGAACTCACAGAAATCCTTCTGCCTCAGCCTCCTGAGTGTTGGGTTTACAGACATGTGCTACCATACCTGGCACATTTAGAAAATAAAACTGCATGTCTGTAGGTTGGTATGGGAAGCGTTCTCCATTCACTCCTCCAGATCCACTCTGCTCCTCTGCACCCTGCGTCCTGTCCCAGGAGACCAAGGATGGCATCAATCATTCCTTCACCCAGTGGCTTCCAGTTGAGTTCAGCTGAAGGGAGACACAGAGTGGCAGAGTCTCCTAAGCTATCCCATCAGCCCTGGTTGGTTCTCCTAACTGTGCCCACATCATTGGCAGGGCTCCCTGCATTAAATTGGTCTTGGTTGGACTCAGTTTGAATGTGCCATCTGTTTCCTGCCAGGCTCGAACTAACACAGTAGATGCATTATCTCTGAATTTCATTCCAGAACGAGAAAGATCCAAGTTACAAAAGATTTGTTATGAAAAGGGAGTCTGTCCAGAATGTGGAACATGTTACAGTACAATCGAACTGGATCTGCAATAAATCAATGATATGAAAAGTTAAAGGGGAAAGCAAATGGCTCCAGATTGAAAAGGTTGGAGGACACACAAAATGTAATATGTAGGCCCTCTCTGAATCCATATTTGAATATACTCAATCCTAATAAGACATATCTGAGACAATAGGATATGTGTAGTTATCTACTACTTATTAAATGACACCAAAAAACTACTTTAATTTCTGTTAGATATGATGATGGCATTATGCATTTCTCCCCCAACACTCTCTCTCATTGCCCAGGCTGGCCTCCAGCTCATGGTGATTCTCCTGCTTCAGCCTCCCAATGTGGTATTTCAGGCAGGTTCACTACACCCAGATACTCATATCTTTAGGAAACTCATATTGAAGTGTAGGAATGCAATGACATGATGCCTGAGATTTGCTTTACAATGCTTTGGCAAAGAAAAAGAGAAAAAAGGGGAATAAAGAAAACGGGGGAAATTTGGTTAAACATTGAATCCAGGTATAGATATAAGGGAATATATTTTACTGTTTATTTTTGTACATTTGCACGAAATTCTTTGTGACAAAAAAGTTTAGGAAATGGGCTAGGGATGTGCCTAAATGTTGAGTGTTTACATGGCTTGTGAAATCTCCAGCATGGCAAAAAGTAGGAAAAGTATGAATTTGAGGTGGGTCATATAACTTCCTGTAAAAACTACAAAAATCAACTTTGAAATAAAACACACACAAAAAATTTTTTTATTAAGGTAGGTAAAAAATTTTGAGACAGTGTCATTATTGACCAAGGCTCTGGCTTTGAACTTGCAATTTACCTGCCTCCGCCTCCCAAGTGCTGGGATCACAGACATGTATATTTGATTGTTTTTATCGTGCACAAGTACTATTTTTATAATTAAACAATAAAAAATGCCTTTTAAATGATTCTTTTTTAAAAATAGAGAATGAATCACAGTCAATCATGAACCAAAATGTCAATTGTGGGGACAGGTCATCTTTGAGTCCAGAGGCTCCACATGGTTGCTGGGTTCTGACCCACAGTCATGTGCCATCCTTGGTCCTCTCCTTTAGGACATCATGGTGACCTTGGACTCCTGCCTGTGCCCAGACTATTTCTTAATTAGGTCATAAGATGCTCTAACTATTAAAACAAAATTTGACTTTATTTTAAAAATCTGATCATTAAAAGATGTCATTAAGAGAGCAAATAGA